AGTAAACAATTCAAGAGGTGTGTGCATCCCTGCCCTCGTTTCATCACGGGTGGGGACGCACACTCTCTCTGTGTGTATTGTTTGGGAGTGCAGCACGCACGGGCAGCTCTCGAGGGGGCTGCTTGTGAAATGTGTGAGGCTTTGCCTATTAGAGTGCTGCGCTCCCGGCTGGCGTGCTTTGACGAGCACGGTCAGGCTCGCGTTCCCCAGGGTTCCGGTCCCGCATATGTCGAGGCGATGCGGCGACTGAGATCCTGGGGTTCGCAGCGGGATCTGGCGGAGGAGAGTGAGAATGCTGAGGCATTTTCTCGCTTGCCATCGGCTGGTCCCGCAGCCTCTGAGAGTGGTGTGGGAGCCCGCGCTGCGGTTTCTCCTACCCGCGATCAGGTCCCGGTGCTTGAGCTGTCTACTTCTGAGGAAGGGGACGTGCTCAGCATCGATGCGGACGACCGTGATCTCAGCACGCCATCACGCGGCCTGGGTTATGAGGAGCTGGTGGAGGTTGTGACACGCGCTGTGGCCAGACTAAACATCAGCTGGCCACAACATGAGCAGGAAACGCAAGTCACCAGTAAAATGGACGAGCGTTACCTGCAGCGCAGGTCACAGCCTCACCGCCGGGGTCTGCCGTTTTTCCCTGATCTCCATAAAGAGATCTCGAGAACGTGGGAAAGACCGCATTCGTCCCGTATTTCGAGTCCCAATGTAATAGATTACAGCAATGTTATGGGGGCTCGAGATATGGGATATGGGAAGATGCCGAAGGTGGAGGAGGCTTTAGTAAGCTATCTCTCTCCCGAATCGGCGTCTTCCCTAAAGACCCCGGTGTTGCCTAGTAAGCCCTGCAGAGAGACATCTGCATTGGTGGGCAGGGCTTACATGGCGGCGGGTCGGGCTGGTTCGTGTCTGCACTCAATGGCGATTTTGCAGGCATACCAGGCCGACCTCCTGAAAGATTTGGATGAGGGGGAGGGGCCTACTCCTGAAGATGTCGCGGAGTTGAGGAAGGCCGCAGATTTGTCTCTCCGGGCCACTAGGGAAGCGGCCAGCGCTATTGGCCGCTCTATGGCGGCCATGGTGGCCACGGAGAGGCATCTGTGGCTGAACTTATCCGGTATTAAAGAAAAGGATAGGTCCTTCCTGCTGGATGCGCCGCTTTCGGCTTCTGGCCTGTTCGGCGACGCCGTTAATTCGGTTGTCGACAGGTTTCAGGAGTCGAGAAAACAATCTGCGGCGTTCCAGCAGTACCTCCCCCGGAAAGCGAAGGCCAAATCTAGTAGGGGGGGGCAAAGCAATCAGCCCCAGCCATCAGCCAGCTCCTCCCACAGGGCAGAGCAGAAGGAGAGCGTTTCCTCTAGAGCCCCCCCTCCGGGGTCTTGGCAACAGAGGAAACGCTCCCAAAAACCGAAGTCCTCCAGCCAGAGGGGCGACCTGAGGGACGTCATTCAGGCTAAGAGGACTTCGGAAAAGAGGTCCTAGCCAAGGCAGGACTTCAGAGGGCTGCCCCCTCCGCAGTGAGACAACCGAGGTTGTTCTCACAACGGGGCCCTCTAGGAAAAGATGCAGGTCCGCCGTTAACAGCGCTTCGGGCCGCATCAATTTCCAGCGAAAAGACACCAGAGGCCAGCCTCGAGAGGCTGGTACCCTTAGCAGATTTTGTAGAGGGATGGTATCATCTTCCCAACATATCTCCATGGGTCCTGCAGATAATACGAGTTGGGTACAGACTGCAGTTCGCGCACCGCCCCCCCAAGTTCTCTGGGGTGGTGCTCACTGCGGTGGTCCCAGAGCAGGCTCAGGTGTTGGAACAAGAAGTACAGACTCTGCTGTCGAAAGGAGCCATAGAACGTGTTCTTCCGGTAGACAGGGAGTCCGGGTTTTACAGCCGGTACTTTATAGTTCCAAAGAAGGATGGGGGGTTAAGGCCAATTTTGGATTTTTTGGTTTGTCACGATAGATCTGAAAGACGCCTATTTTCACATCTCCATCCTTCCTTGTCACAGGAGGTACCTGAGGTTCGCTTTCGGGGGCGAAGCATACCAATATCGGGTTCTTCCGTTCGGCCTAGCACTCTCTCCCCGCACATTTACCAAGTGTATGGACGTGGCCCTTGCTCCACTGAGACTTCAGGGGATTCGCGTATTGAATTATCTCGACGACTGGCTTATTTTGGCCCAGTCTCGGGAGATGGCAGTTCGGCATCGAGATGTCGTTCTTGGCCATATTCAAAAATTGGGGTTAAGACTCAATTTGAAGAAGAGTGTGCTAGAACCGTCCCAGGGCACGACCTTTTTGGGAGTCGTGTGGAACTCGATTACAATGCAGGCACGTATGTCTCCCGCACGTATCGAGTCAATTCTGGTGATGGTGTCCAGGGTGAGGCTAGGTCAGGCCGTCACTGTGAAACACTTTCAAAGGATGCTGGGCCTCATGGCAGCGGCATCCAACATTATTCCTCTGGGCCTCCTTCACATGAGGCCCCTCCAGTGGTGGTTGAAGACCAAGGGGTTCTCACCCAAAGGAAATCCGTTCCGTATGATCAGAGTAACGCGCAAGTGCCTTCAGTCTCTGCAAATATGGAAGAAGCCTTGGTTCCTATCCCAAGGGCCAGTGTTGGGGGTGTCATGTCGCCGGGAAACCGTTTCGACAGACGCCTCCCTTACGGGCTGGGGCGCGGTCATGGACGGCCGCTTTACCAGGGGTCTGTGGCAGGACCATCATCGCACTTGGCATATAAATTGCCTGGAGATGATGGCGGTATTCAAGGCTTTGAGGAGCTTCCTCCCAGACATCGAGGGTCGCCACGTCCTTATACGGACAGACAATACGTCAGTGGTGGCCTATCTGAACCGACAGGGGGGACTCAGATCGCGCCCTCTGTGCAAACTGGCGCATCAGATTATCCTTTGGTCCCAGGGAAAGATATTGTCAATAAGGGCAATGTATATCCCAGGGGTTCAGAATCGGGGAGCAGACATCCTGTCGAGGCAGGGGCTGAGGCCCGGGGAGTGGAGACTTCATGGATGTGGTGAAGTCGATATGGGAGAGGTTCGGACCGATGGAAGTGGATCTGTTTGCGTCTCGAGAGACGTCCCACTGTCCACTTTGGTTCTCCCTCTCACATCCAGCCCCACTGGGGTTGGATGCCATGGTACAGGCTTGGCCGAGGCTTCGCCTGTATGCTTTCCCCCGATCGCTCTGCTCCCAGGGGTCCTGGAGAGGGTCCGTCAAGAGGGCATCAGTCTACTTCTGGTTGCCCGAGATGGCCGACACGAGTATGGTTCTCGGATATAATATCACTCCTCATAGCTCCGCCATGGCCGATTCCTCTGAGGAGGGATCTATTGTCTCAGGCGGAGGGCACAATCTTCCACCCTCGCCCAGAGTTGTGGAAGCTGTGGGTCTGGCCTCTGAGGGGGTTCAGTACCTAAATGCTGGCTTATCAGCTGAGGTGGTTGAAACCATACTTAGCTCTAGGGCCCCATCTACCAGGAGATTATATGGCCTCAAGTGGAAGGTGTTTCACACTTGGTGTGGAGAACGAAGGTTGGATCCAGTAAACTGCCCAGTGGCTTCAGTTCTGGAATTCCTTCAGGATCATTTCTCTGCGGGTCTCTCCCCGTCCACTCTTAATGGAAAATGGTATGATAGTGTCAGAATTTGGCCTGTTGCCAGTATTTTACTGTAAAAAACCTGGTAAGGTCTAACAGTGTGTCAAAATGACTGGCTTGGAGATTCACTTAAACAGTTTATGTCTAAAATGGACGCAGTTATGGAAATAGTTGGGAGAAAATATGGTGCATCAGTAGTAGACTTAGATCTGCACTCGTTCTTAAAGGGGAAGCAGTCTAATATGCGGACGATTGCGACATTACTGCGAATCAAACAACTAAAGCAAAAAGAAAATCACTCACTGCTCTTGAATGAATAACTTTAGCTTTAATAAGTAAGATGAGGAGACTGAGGGAAAAAGAGAGAGAGTGATCGAGATGAGGAGAGAGCAGGTATTGACAAATAATCTACTGGACGCTGAAATTAGGTTATTTTTGCATGTCTCCAGGGTCTCTCTCTCAATTCCTGAACTTCCTTCACTGTTTGGATTAATCCTAATACAATAAATACAGTTTAATGGAAAAGTGCTTTTCCTTGTATTTCTTTCAGGGCCAGTCAAAATATAGAAGGGGCCAGCAAAACTCTGATCTACTGGCCCCGGGGGCCAGTGGGGATTTTTTTTTATGTTGAGCCCTGGTTAAGACACAATAGTTATAAAAGGTGTTGACCAGTAATCACTCTAATCTATTTGTTAAATTCGTTGGCAGCAGAGGAACCTGCGCTTACCAACAGGGGCAGTCTCAAGATATCACCCTTATGAAAATAACTCTATTCACAGTGCACACACACTAGCACACACTCAGCAACTCATGTCAGAGAAGATCACGACACACAGTGAGGATGCTACCCGGCCTTCACGCTCGAGCAATATCCTCACATCAAAACATGCTGTCCCTGGATCACTGTCACAAACTATGCGGTGGATGGAGCCAAATGTCTCTGACAAAACACGCTGATAGATCGTACACTACATGAAGCATACAGATTATACCCACTTAAAGCCACCAAAAAGCACCGTAGTAGACATCACAGCCAATGGTTAGCAGCTTCAGCTGTGTTTACTGGCAAACCATTCAACAATGCACTCCAGCAAAGAAAGCAGCAGGGTGCGAGGATGACATCATTTCCCCGTAAAAATGATGCACATCAATTAACTGGTAGCCGTGCTCTTATACGCAACAGATACCAGGCCATTGGCCAAACCTCAAACTAGTGGGAGGGGTGATAACCCATCCTGCCACATATATAACTTACTTTGAGATAAACATCTACTGAACCTGGAACTTCCCTTTGATTATGATTAACAATTAACTTGACCTATTTATTTATCTGAAGCAATATAGATAACGTACAAAAGACAGTAAATCAGGACAATATAAAAGGAACATGAGAGGCTGTGAGGATGAAGAGCAAGAGCTGGAAACAAACATCAGTGAAGAATGAAGGGTTTAGTGTGTTTACTGCTGATGTTAGAAACCTTTGTGTGTGTCATACATCATCAGGTAGATGGAGGACTCAATGAGAATGAGATCAGTCAACAGCTCAGATCTGAGGACAGAGGACAGAATCCACCTCAAACAGACACTTTGAGAGATGAAGCTTCAACTGACAGTCGACAAAACTACCATCTGTTCTTCACTGACATCCATGCAGCGCTGAGAGAACTGACTGCCACAGTTACAGAGCAGAAAACCATCAACAGAGAACTGATCGCCACGGTTGCAGAGCAGAAAACAAACATCAGAGCTTTAGAGAGGAGACTGATGGAACAACAGACGTTAATCCTGGAAGAGATGAACAAGAAAAATGATGGTACCTCACCAAAACATTCACTCCTTTATGAATGACCCTTAAAGTAATACACCAATGAAATACATTGCATAGTGTAAATGTTTAAATATTTGAGTGTATACTGTGTAAATTGTGTTATCTATCTAAATGTAATTTAACAAGATCTTTATTTATTTACAGAAATTTCAAATCTTACTCTGGGTCAAGTGGCGTTGAGAAAAGAAAATAGAGGTGAAACTTGTACTAAGTATGTTAAATCCAGTCTATACATTCTCAGCGTTATAGAGTGATATTCACAATATTGCTTATGTTTTTCAATAACAGACAGAGAAATAGCTTTTTCAGCTTCACTGATGCAATCTGGCAGTGGATATATTGGTCCTTTTACCACTCACATCACACTAACCTATAGGAATGTCTTCACAAACATAGGGAATGCCTACAACCCAATCACAGGTAATTATCAATGAAATTGATAATTAATGCTTACTGAGTCATAAAACTCAAGTTTATAATAATGAAAACCCTTCTGCTCCATTCTGACCTCTCTGCAGTTGTGTAATTTGTATAAGAGAATTAAAGGAATAGTCCACTTAAAATTTTAAATTCTTTCATCACAAAACATTAAATGGACCCAATTGACTTCCATAGTATGAAAATAATTACGTTGGAAGTCACTGGGGTAGAGACTGCTTTGGTACAGACATTCTTCAAAATATTTTCTTTTGTCATCTTTCATAACATCTCGGTTACATAGCATATAATGAGCAACAGGTGCAGTTATGTATACGAAATTAGGAAAGTCAAGTCAAGTCACATTTATTTATATAGCTCTTTTCACAATACAGATTGTATCAAAGCAGCTTCACAGTGATAACATGAAAGTAGTACAACACAGATCAATAATATTGTTAAATATTAAATATCCCCGACTAAGCAAGCCAAAGCAAGGAAACAGTGGCAAGGAACCAAAACTCCATCAGATTGGATGAAGAAAAAACCTTGGGAGAACCCAGTCTCAGTCGGGGGCCAGTTCTCCTTTGGCTAACAATCATATTGTTTATATATAAATATTAAATATAAATATTGTTTATATATAAATATTTAATATAAATATTGTTTATATATAAAACGGCGCCATAACATATCGCCGGCGTTGAGTCGTCTCTTCACAGGCGTTGGTCTTCTCATCACAGGCGTTGGGGCATCCGAAATCCCCGTGAGAGGCTGGATACAAAACTGGACCTGACGAACTCCATTTTTCTCGGGACAAGCGTCCCGAGATAACAGCAGAAAGGCAGATGGGAAATAATTAGCATAGCTGATGTTCATAATGATTTCCATTATACGGGAGTCGTTGTTAGAAAACCACTATCTCACAAACTCTATGCAAACCTAAACTCTCCGCAACCCAACCATACGCGCGACCCATTTGTCTAAAAGGCTGTCGAGCCCCACTGGTGCGTTAAGCAGTTTCAGTGGCAAACGGTTCCGTATGGCATAACAGAGGAATAAGAGGTGAGCATTATGTGAATGCTTGACTAAAGAAATGCGTCTTTAGTCTAGTTTTAAACTGTGTCAGTGAGTCAGTGCCTCGGACCATATCGGGAAGGCTATTCCAGAGTTTTGGAGCTAAATGTGAGAACGCCCTCCCTCCTTTAGGGAAACGCGAATGTAAACCGCGTATTGAGTCGCATTTCAAACTCATTGATCAATATGCTTGTGTGGGAGTCAGTGAAATGTGTGCTGGTTTCTCACCGCGTTCTGCGCTGGTGTGCGAGTCTCATCGTCAATAAATGCAAGCCCTATCCACCGCGTTTACAGTGTAATAATTAGTGGATACTTTCATGCGCTTTCATGTCCAAGTGTCTGCTATCAGACCCGTTGAAGTGCAGTTCCCTATCGGTCAGTCACTACAACGTAGGTCATACTGACCAATAGAAATCTCGCTAGAGAGTCAATGTACTTCGTGTGAATCTAAAACAAGCCAATGCACATTGGCGTGCAATCATTTGCAACAGCTGCGTGTCCTCGTCAGCGCGGGTATATAATGAGCGGCTGTGAGATTGCACTTCAGCTTTTTGCTTCGGAGCCAAAGCTTCATGCCTCTACTTAGAGTTGAATTCTTCAAAAGCAAGCCTGTTGGAAGATCTCTCGCTTTGTGGTACGGGTGTAACGGCACTTAAGCGTGAGCAGCTCTCTCTCTCTCTCTCTCTCATTCCCGTCCGTGTCCGCTTTCAGCTGTTCCCCTGTGTGCTTCAGTGCCAGCGAGAGCAGTCCCTAAAAGAGCTTACACAGATAGTTCACGTCTTTTTAAAGATGACGTCCTATCTGTGTGTTTCTGGATGCAGCCGTTACCTGGGATCGCGGGATGGTCAAGAACGCTGTCTGGTGTGTCTGGGTATTGAACACGCACAGTCAGCATTCGTGGATAAGTGAACATGGCCATCTCAGAGCTGCGGTCGAGACTCTCGCTCCTGCAAGGGGGCGAAGTCCCCGTGCCGGCGGCCCGTTCCAATCCTCCAACGAGGGTTGCTTCGGTCAGCTGCTGCCTCCACCCCACCGCCGGCGGCTCCTCAGTCTACTTGTCACTGGGGGCGCCCGTCCATCCAGGCCCCCGCCAAGAAGGGCGGCAAAGCCAAGAACAAGCGGCCCTAGGACAAGCAATCCAGAGATGGCAGGGACTGCTCTCCAGGAGACGGTGAACACATCCCTCCCTCCCCCCAGAAGAGGGCCGGGTGGAAAATCTTTTGTTTTTGGTACTCAGGAGAGGACACGGAGAGCAGTGGGGGGACAAAATCCTTACCACTCTCATCCTCCTCTTCTATCACCAGCTGGCAGCAGTGTGCGGTCCGAGAACGCCACCGAGCCGCCTCCCGCACCTCCTGCCTGTGGAACCAGGTAAGTGCTTCACAGCACACTCAGACCCCGATGTGGGCTGCCTCCCAGAGAGCCCCCCCAGCCAGGTCCCTGTGTTCCAGTTCGCTGCCCCACTCCGTGTACGCCTACGGTCTTGTTGGTCCCGCTTGTAAGGTCTCTGAGAGCCTGGTTAGTGCTCCCCAGTCCATCTCGCTGGCTCATTCGGACCATTAGGCTCGGCTATGCGATTCAGTTCGCCTTCTTTCGCCCGGCGTCCCCCCAAGTTTCGAGCCATCCACTCCACTACAGTGAGAGAAACTGATGACCACATCTTGCGCATGGAGATCACACTCCTACTGGCGAAGGACGCGATAGAGCCAGTCCCTCCAGCCGATATGAGGTCAGGGCACTACAGTCCCTACTTCATTGTACCCAAGAAAGGTGGTGGGTTACCACCAATCTTGGACCTGCGAGTTTTGAATTGGAGCCTCCACAAGATACTGTTCAAAATGCTCACGCACAAACACATCTTCGAATGCATCCATCCCCGAGATTGGTTTGCAGCGATCGACCTGAAGGAAGCGTACTTTCATGTCTCGATTCTCCCTCGACACAGGCCGTTTCTGCGCTTTGCATTCGAGGGTCGAGCATATCAGTACAAGGTCCTACCTTTAGGGCTGTCCCTGTCTCCTCGTCTCTTCACGAAAGTTGCGGAGGGGGCCCTTGTTCCTATGAGAGAACAGGGTGTTCGCATCCTCAACTATCTCGACAACTGGCTTATACTAGCACACTCTCGAGATCAGTTATGCGATCACAGGGACCTTGTGCTCAGGCACCACAGCCAGTTGGGTCTTCGGGTTAACTGGGAGAAGAGCAAACTCGCCCCCGTGCAGAGGATCTCTTTTCTCAGTATGGAGTTGGATTCGGTCGCACAAACAGCGCGCCTCAGAGAAGCACGCTCAGTCGGTGCTGGACTGCTTGAACACATTCAAAGGCAGGACGGCGGTCCCACTGAAATTTTTTCAGAGGCTCCTGGGGCATATGGCAGCAGCAGCAGTGGTAACCCCGCTCAGCTTGCTTCACATGAGACCGCTTCAGCACTGGCTTCACGGCCAAGTCCCAAGATGGGCGTGGCATCACGGTACTCACCGGGTGGCAATCACACCGGCATGCCATCAGACCTTCAGCCCGTGATCAGATCCCTCGTTCCTTCGGGCAGGAGTCCCCTTGGAACAGGTATCCAGGCATGCTGTGGTATTCACAGATGCCTATACCACCGGCAGGGGTGCCACATACAACGGGTATGCAGTATCAGGGGTGCGGACGGAGCCTCATCTGCATTGGCATATCAATTGCCTTGAGTTGCTAGCAGTACACCTCACTCTGCGCTGTCTGAATAGGCTGCTGCAGGGCAGGGACATGCTGGTCCGTACGGACAACACTGCGACCATTGCGTACATCAACCGGCAAGGTGGTCTACGCTCCCGTCGCATGTCGCAACTCGCCGGCCATCTCCTCCTCTGGAGACAGAAGCATCTGAGGTTGCTTCGACCCATGTATGTCGGTGTACTCAACCGTGTGGCCGACGAGCTATCAGGAGCTGTGCTCCCGGGACAATGGCGACTCCACCCCCAGGTGGTTCAGCTGATCTGGAGAGAGTTCAGGGAAGCTCAGGTAGACCTGTTTGCCTGCTCAGAGACCTCCCACTGCCAGCTGTTTTACTCCCTGACTGAGGGAACCTTCGCAAATATGCGTTTCCCCCAGTGAGCCTTCTTGCACAGACACTGTGCAAAATCAGGGAGGACAAGCAGCAGGTCCTTCTGGTGGCTCCCTACTGGCCCACTCGGACCTGGTTCCCAGAACTCATGCTCCTTGTGACAGTCCCTCCCTGGCCCATTCCTCTGAGGAAGGATCTTCTGACTCAGAGACGGGGCACCCTATGGCACCCGCATCCAGACCTCTGGAAACTCCATGTCTGATTCCAGGTGACTTACCCCCAGAGGTACTTAACACCATCACTTCAGCACGGGCGCCGTCCACGAGACGCGTCTACGCCCTGAAGTGGAACCTGTTCGTCGAGTGGTGTTCTTCTCGCCGAGAAGACCCCCGAAGATGTTCGATAGGGTCCTTGCTTTCCTTCTTGCAGCAAGGGTTGGAGCAAAGACTGTCTTCCTCCACCCTCAAAGTCCATGCTGCTGCTATTTCAGCTTATCACAACCACATCGATTGCAAAACAGTTGGAAAGCACGACCTGGTCGTCAGGTTTCTTAGGGGGGCGAGAGGATTAAATTGTCCTCGACCCCCCTTCATACCATCTTGGGATCTTTCCCTGTTGCTCCGAGCATTTCAGGACGTTCCCTTTGAGCCTTTGCAATCAGTAGACTTAAAGCTTCTTTCCATGAAGACTTTGCTACTGGTTGCATTGGCCTCTGTCAAAAGGGTAGGAGACCTGCACGCTTTTTCGGTTGACGAATCGTGCCTAGAGTTCGGGCCGGGTGACAGCCACGTGGTATTAAGACCCCGGCCTGGCTATGTGCCCAAGGTTCCTACCACTCCCTTTAGAAACTAGGTAGTGAACCTGCCCTTGGAGGAGGCAG